GAGCATTTTTTATTTTATTTTTCCAATATACTTCCATTTGCATAAATCCAAATAAAATAAAATGTGCATGCCCACATTTCCCAAGTTTCATTAATGCATGATTGATACATGTAATATATTCAAATTGCTTGGGTCCCATACATTAATTTAATAAGTAGAGTAATTTTTTATTTTTTTTTTTAATCTAAATAGTAAACTCAATGATATAGTATTCAATAAATGCAATTTTAAGATGTATATTGATTATTTCTTTCTCAATATATAAGAATTCATGGTTATGTCATAGTCATTAATGATATCCCCTGCAACATATGTGACATAGTTTATAGTTGGTGATCTTATTTTTGAATTTATGATAATTACTTCATAATAAATCAATATTTTTATTTATGCATATCAGAAATTGTAAAATTATAAAATATATGGACAACTTAAATTATAAATGTATTTTGAAACTTAACAAATTTGTATTTTTTTATCAAATTTTCATACATATCATATTCATATCATATCGAGTTAGTCATCTTTTCTTGCTATTCAATTTGACATTAATTAATATTGTCTTATATAACATAAAACAAAAAAAAATTATATCAATTTTATAAACGAAATTAAATTATACATCAATTATAATTGAAAATTAACAAACTTATTACTTATTAAATAAAAAAAAAATTATCCTAGCAAGCCTATCGTATGATATGGTTTAAAAATTTTATTATAATATAGGACTAACTGCACGGATATCAATTATCAAGCGTCGATCACGTCATTTCAAATAAATAATGTTAGAATATCACTTGTGAGTTGTCCCACATCGTTCACACATAGAAAATAGGGCCACCTTATAAGTCTAATGGGCTACTCCTCTTTTCACCAATTGGTTTTGAGATGGAACCTCATTTGGGCTTCATATGGGTTTTCTTTTTCCTCCAATTTCTTACATGGTATCAGAGTCAGGTTTGAGACATGATATCAGAGCCCACTTTGTGCCTGAGTTAGAGACATGATATCAGAGCCCGACCAACTTTGTGTCTGGGTTAGAGACATGATATCAGAGCCCACTTTGTGCCCACTTTGTGCCTGAGTTAGAGACATGATATCAGGACTCACAAGTGAGGGGGCGTGTTAGAATATAAGTTGTCCCACATCGTTCACACATAGAAAATAGACCCACCTTATAAGTCTAATGGGCTACTCCTCCTTTCACCAATTGGTTTTGGGATGGAACCTCATTTGGACTTCATATGGATTTTCCTTTTCCCCCAATTTCTTACAAATAATAATAATGCAAATTATTAAAAATAAAATTTTCTATTTTATTGTTTATTAAAAAATATAAATTTCTTAATTTACACATTTATAATATACGAGCATTGTACTATTAATAATTGCACAATAAATTTTATCATGGTTATTTAGTAACGTATAGCCGTGCATGTGCATCTGAATTTGGCAAAATATTTCAATTCAATACAGAAATAATAAATTTGATATCATATTAATTTTATGAATATTTTCACCAAGATTAATTTAATAGGACCATTTTATTTCTAATTAGATATCATCCCACAAAGAGCTACAAAGCAATATAAACAAACAAATAAGGGAAATAATTAACTAATTAAAGGGAAATGATACTGTCTCGTAACAGAACCATTATGTCGGAGTTTGTAACTGTTAGATCAACAATCCCCGACAGTTACATGATGATAGAACAGTTACAAACCCCGACAGAATGGTTCCGTAACGGGACTGCATCAATCTCCCCTAATTAAATTGCAATAGCAACAAAATTAGGAGCTTCTCTCCAAATCAAACAAGGGATGAGCATATTCAAGCAAATTGCATTAATTATAAAACTCCAATCAAAATCCCAATAAAAATTGAACTCTTTTTTTTTTTGCAAGAAAAGTAGGTGTGTATATTAATTAATTTCAAAGATGGTAGCAAGAAATAATTCTCATTTATTATTTGTTAGGTGCATAAATGAAGCAATCTAGTGTGATGGCAGTAATTTTTTTTTGCCTCATGAGCCAACCATACAGCATTTAAATCCCCCCTTGACAGAAAATTTTCAGGTGCATTTACATTTTTCATTTACTAATTTTGATTATTTTTTATTTTACCATGCTTATTTAATTATTCATTGATTGTCTCTGCCATTTGTTCTCTGTGTAAATAATTACATCAGATATCTTTGAGAGTGATCTTCATTAAAGCTATACCCCTTTCTTCCCTCCAAAAAGATGATACAAATTTTGTTATTAGACGGTCTAACGGTTATACTATCGATTATCAAGTCTTTGAGTAGACATGACGATCAAATGAGCTATACGGTACACCATCTCATTCTTGAATAATAGAGTGCAAATTTATAATATGAAATGTAATACTAGTATTTTAGTACGAGTTGTTATGCAGTCAATTATTACGTTATTACCATTTTTGGAAAACTTGGTTCACAAGCTAGTTTATAGTTTTTAATTGAATTTCGAACTTATAACTGATAACTTATGGCTGAAAAATGTAATAAAAGCGTTTGGCAAAAATTAACTGATAAGTTGGAATAAAAACTTTAATGAGCTTATTTAAAAAAAATTTTAAAGAAGTTTATGAGATAAACTCACACTTTTTAAGAAAAGATCGTTCTAACTTCTACCAAATCAAACTCATTTGAATACTGAAAACTTGCAAGATAATCAAATAAGTGATAAGGTAGATATATGCTTACCAATATACCATAAATAGAAATGAATATATCTATAGTATAAAAATCTCATTTTAGCATGAAAAGTTAAGAAGAGTCCATCAATAAACTATGTACTAATAGTTTCCATGTTGCAAGTTGCAACCATTTCTTTACTAAAAAAAATGAAAAAAAATGGCACCTCAAAAGAAGTAGTTCTTTGTATTTCCCAACATGAAAATGCTTATTCCCACAATTTTTCTTGTTCAAACAATTGTAAAACCATGGTACATTCAAAAATTTCTTCAACAATTTCAATTCAAGAATTATAAACAATTAACCAAGCTAATAGACAAGATCATAAGCAACACTACAACTAATTATAAAAAAATAAAAATAAAAAA